TACTTGTAAGTATCATATAGTTGGGCCTTTTTTAAAAAATATATCCATTCAAGTGAATTTCAATTCTTATCTAATAGCACACAAACTAATTACTGAAATTCTGTGGCAGACTGAAAAATATGTTATATTTTTTGCTGATCTGACAAAAATAGGTATACTTTTGATTCATTCACACTGGATGGCTATTGTTGTGTTGGCTATTGTCATTTTTTAAAAAAATATAATGTTTTTATTGACTGTTTACAGAGAGAGGAAGGTGAAGGGATAGAAACATTATCAATTGGCTGCCTCTTGTACAACCCCTACTGGAGATTGTGCACACAACCTGGGCATGTGTCCTGACTGGGAATTGAACCAGTGACCTCTTGGTTTCTGGGTCAATGCTCAACCACTGAGCTACATCAGCTGGGCTGTTATGTTTTTATTTGACAATCTAAGGGAAAAGAGATCAGTGTTCCTGTCTAAATAGTCAGGTATTGCATGTTTTAAAAATTCTTGTGGCACTCCAGTGTGCCTGCTGTCGCACATTTGAAAATCTGTGAATTAGCCAATCTCTGTCTTTAACTCATAACCTAGGTACTTGCCCTGACTGGGAATTGAACCATGACCTTTCGGTCTATGGGATGACACTCCAACGTCCAACCAACTGAGCCACACCAGCTAGGTCTATATGTCTTTTGTTTAGAGAATTTAATCCATTTATGTCTAGGGTATTTATTGGTAAGGACTTATTAATGCCATCTTATTAATTGTTTTCTGGCTGTTTTGTAGTTTTCTTGTACCTTTCTTCTTTACTTTCTGCCTTCCTTTGTGAATTAATGATTTTCTATAGTCTTATGCTTGGATTCTCTTCTCTTTATCTTTTGTGCATCTGTTGTAAGTTTTTGCTTTGTGTTACCATGAGGCATACATAAAACATCTTGTGGCTAACAGGTCTATTTTACACTGATAACAACTCAACTTCAATCATGTGCCAAACCCCTACCCTTACTAGATTTAATGCACCACCATATTACAGTATTACAGTATTCTGAATTTGACTGCATGCTTATTCTTTACCATTGCATTGTATATTTCCATGTTATTAATTAAGTCTAGTGGTAATGAACCCTATCAGCTTTTTTTTTTTGGTCTGGAAAAGTCTAACTCTCTTTCATTTGTGAAGAACAAGTTTGTCAGACAGATACTATACACCATCTTATTTCATCTCAACAGACATTTATTCAAGCATTCTCTAAATTCTACTATATTGTATTTGGTTCTTGTGCAATGCTCTCTCACATTACCTTGTTCTTTTCCTTTATAGATTTTTCAGAATTTGTAATTCTATGTTTGTCAAATTATTTTATACATGTGGCCTACACATGTATATTTTTCCCTGAAAGTGTAAGTTTTGTAAAGATAATGAATGCATCTGTTTTCACATTATGTGAATACACTCAGAACATATAGTATGATATATATAACAACACTGGTATTCAATGACCACTTTTGCATTAGTGATTGAATTAGTGAATATATTGACACAGTTTGGGGCTTAGTCCAGACAGTAATAAAGAGAATGTGACTTTGTTTTTCTTTGCTGTTATTCCTTGTAGTATACACATTCTTTTTTTTAAAATTTATTTTTAGAGAGAGAAAAGGGTAGAGTGACGGGGGCGGGGAGAGAGAGAGAGAGAGAGAGAGAGAGAGAGAGAGAGGATAGAGAAACATTGATTGGTTACTTACCGCACATACACAGACAGGGGATCAAACCCACAACCTAACTATGTGCTTTGACTAAGGAATCAAACCTGCAACCATTTGGTGCATGGGATGACGCTCCAACCAACTGAGCCACCTGGCCAGGGCTCAGGTGTTATGTTATGTTAGGGTTATGTTTCTGAGAGGGTTTATGGTCTAGAGTAGAATTTGGATACTCAGGGTTTTCTAAGTGTGATAAAAATTTGAAAAACCTTCACAACCAACATATCTTCAAACAGAATGCTTCTCTGCCTATATTTCAGCTTTCTTGGAATACTTAAAATTTTTTTGAAGTATGTAAAATTCACCTATATAAAGTAATAGAGAGAATAGTACCATGTATCAACAGCCCAGCTTTAACAATGACCAATTCATGGGCAATTTTGTATGTCTACTATTTAATCTTACATGCTCACTGCATTATTTTGATGATAATCTCAGACATTATATCATTTTTCTCATAAATATCTACACTAATAAAAGTCACTCTGCTATGCCCACCAGCCAATCAGGATGAGTATGCAAATTAACCCAACAAAGATGGCTGGTTAATTTGCATAGGCAGGCGCAGAGAAAGACTGAAGGCTCCGCTGCGGCCAGACCAAAGGCCTGGGACCTGGGCACCAGAGGAAAACTGGTGCAGGCAGCCAGGGGAAGGAAGGCCTATTGTGTGAATCTTCATGCAACAGGCCTCTAGTTATATTATAAAAATCTACAATATAATGGCTTTTTAGAAACATAGCACCGTGTCATTACCACACCTAAAATTAGATAAATAACCCCTTAACACATCAAGTGTTCAGTTTTATGTCTTAGAGAAATTTTGTAAAAGTTGTTTTGTTTGACTATGAGTCCAAACAAAGCCTAGCATTTGGTTGATAAGTTTCTTCAGTTTGTTAAATGTATGGTTTCTCTGTTCTCTAGTCTTCCTTGCAAGCTATTTGCTGAAGAAACAGCTGTTTGCCTAGTGTAGTGGTCGGGAAACTGCAGCTCAAGAGCCACATGCAGCTCTTTGGCCCCTTGAGTGTGGCTCTTCCACAAAATACTGACTTCTGTGCATGGGCCATAAAGTTTCAGTCGCACTGTACGTGCATGCCTGCATGTGGTATTTTGTGGAAGAGCCACACCTAAGGGGCCAAAGAGCCACATGTGGCTTGCGAGCCATAGTGCCGACCACTGGCCTAGTGAAACTTCTCTTGTTCTGGTTTTATTAGTGGCATCTCTGTGATGTCATTTACTATGAAATTGTGCCCTGGGCTCCAGAAAATAATACTAACACCAATTATTAACACCTCTTAACTGCTGATTATGTGCCATTTAAAGTGTTTGATGTGTAAGAAAAAATTTAATCCTTCAAAATCCCTAGTTTCTATGCGGTAAATACAAACATGTTATATTTTATGTAATTTTAAAATCATGTGACCTTTAAGTAGTATGATAGTACATATTAATAAAGCCATACATTTTATACAAAATCTGAAGTAATTTAAATAACTCAAATCATTTACAAAAATAACATAATTCAAAATCATAAGGACTGATTTCCAGCTTTGCTTATAGTAATGTTATGTGATGATTCTCCTTTTAATTTGTAGCTGATAGAAAATAATTGCTCTTATTTTTAGAGTTAATTTTACTATTTTAAAATTATATGAAAATTTTACAAATGAATCCCTTTAATAAAATGCAACTAACAATAAGTTTGCTTTTCCAAGTACTTCATGGGGAAAGAGTATGAGTAGGGCAGCATTTGTATATTTCTGGGACACTGGTCATAATGACATTCAATATAACCCTCATATTACAGTAACACACACACACACACCTCCAAAATGCCAAATTTTTACCTCATGAATCATTGAAATTTAAAACTCTTCTCATCACTTTTGTGCATTTTCAGGTGACCTATATATTTTTCCTTACTAATATTTTTATTTTATACACTTGGGATCATAATTGCTGACCTTTTATTTTCTTTCCCCAATAACTTTATTTTATAGTAATTTATTTTCACACCAAAATTGAGCAAAAAATACAAAAATTTCCTGTGTACACCCTGCCCTCACAGGCACAGCCTCCTCCATTGTTAACATTTTCCACCAGAGTGGTACATTTCTTACAACTGATGAGTCTACAATAACACATTATTATCACACAGAGTCTATGGTTTACATTAGTGTTCATTCTTGCTGTTGTACATTAGATGGGTTTGGGCAAAGGTGTAATGACATGTGTGCACCATTATGGTGTCATACAGAATTGTTTTGTGGCCCTAAAAATGCTCCGTGTTCTGTTACTTACACTGTCACGATGCTCTGGTTCTGATTCCCTGCAAGTACTAACTTTAGTGTACATCTTTAATTATTCTCTTCTATCCAGGAAGCTTTTTTCTCTGGAATCTTTCCTATCTCCTCCTGAAAGTAGATATACTTAAAATATGTTGCATATAACATTCTTGATTAAAAGTTTATGGGCCATAAGGAAGGGAGATTTCCTTTATTAGAGAGTAAAAACTAAAACCATATACTAGTATTACAACTTTTTGCTCTACGAGTTCTCTTAGCAACCCTACACCAATAATATGTCACTGACTACTCTACCCTATCTATTCTCTTAGTCTAACCCAATCTCAACTTCTCTCATTCTAGAGAGGAAAGAAACCCTCTAATTAAAGTATGAAAAGAAATTCATCTATAGCTTCACATTTGAATCAAAGGGTTCAAAAAACAAAAGTGCTTTTCATATAATATGATCCATTGTTTTAAATAAATGAATTATGCTTATAACTAGCAAAATTTTTAATTACAGTTGACAGTCAATATTGTTTTATATTAGTCCCAGGTGTGCAGCACGGTGGTCAGGCATCTATATAAAAAATCATGGAACGCTTCACGAATTTGCATGTCATCCTTGCACAGGGGTCATGCTCAACTCTGTGTTGTTCCAATTTTGGTAAATGTGCTGCTGAAGGGAGCACTAGCAAGGTATTTGTACTCCGTCTTAAGGCCCTGCCTGTATATCAAGATTATTCAAATTCAATACTTCTGAAAAATAACTATTATTCCCACATAGTGGTTGAGAAAATATGGCTCAGAATGTTAGATACTTAACTCTAGTGTTACACAGTTCAAAATACTAGCTATAAAGCACCGAGTCCTGGATTTAGGTTTCTTTGTACCAAATTATGCTGCATCAGTTATTCTGTTAGTGTCTGTCTCTCCCAGTTATATGTTAAGCTCCCTGAGGCAGATGGCACAGACAGGGACAGCCTCACACACCCTGGGGCTGTGCCATCCGAGGTGCAATGTGTGGAGCAGTCATGCGGGGCGGAAAGATTGAGGCAACGCGGGGAACACAGTTGCAAAGGGCAATGGCTCCACGTCAGGTCACACACACGATCAGGAGTGAAGTGTTGGACGTACCCGGAGCGTCAGAGCGTCCCTCTGTGGGTCCATCTCCCTGCCAGGGTTTCCACTGGGAGACAGCTAATCCAGAGCAGGCCAGCACCCTCGATGCTGCATGATCTCATCCCTGTGGACCGGGTGCTTTCTTCCTCACAGGCTCCCCTTCCTTAGCCAGGAGCGGAGGGCAGGGTGGGGGTAGTGGCTTGTTCTGCTGCTCCCAGGTGCACAGGGACTCAGGGATCTGGTGATGCTGATGGGGCTTACCTGCCTGGACACTCCCTGTGGCCATACCCACCCAGTGTCCCTCATATCCCAGGGTGGCACAGGCAAATCCACAAGTTACCCAGCAGGACTCATCCAGGAGGCGAGGCAAGCTACACTCCCGGCCCTTTCCCACTGGTTACTAACCCTAAGTAAGGACAAAGCATTATCGTCTCATTCTAATGCCCTCCTGACTGACTTCCATTTCTTCTCCTGCCTAGAGAATTCTTATCTCCTCAAAGGTAAAGAAAAGAGAGAAAGTTTCTAATGTCATCATTAACTTTACAAAGTTAAAGTTTTGAGAAAATTTTTTTGACTTTTTGGTACTTTTGAGATGCAAATTTCCTTTCCCCTAATGTTCCTGTCGTAACGTTTGAAAGCTATATTATGGTAAGTATGAACTTCCTTCTTGGTTTTGTATTCCTGCTGAACAAAACTGCACCAAGGGCAGAGGGTATATATGATCCTCATTGATGCCTGAAGTGGGGGTGGAAAGGCAGTGGCCAAGGGTGGGAACCAAATGAAGAGAGAAATCTTAACCTCATCTAAGATATCAAAATATTATCAGGCTACATTTGGTTGCTCTTTTGTTACTGGGCAAGAAATATGATCTGTAAAATAAAATGGAAGGGGCCTGAAGCATGAGGGTTTGCCATCCTTAGCCATGACCCTACTCAGCCCTGAGATGAAAGAGAGGAAAAAATTAAATAAAAGACCTCCTACAGGGCATTTATTGCTTCCATGGAGATATCAGATCAGGGTCACAAGGAATTAGGCATATCCCAGGGATCTCCATAGTAGGTAACGGCTGAGAAAAGAAAAAAAAGTCAGGAGTGAGGGGGAGAATTCCAAGGATTTGTGAACTCTGTGAGGTCACAGCACCTTAAGTCCCAGAGGAGAGATGACAGGAGGGGCATTGGAGGAAAGAAGGCATATGATGGACTTGGCCAACGAATAGTGCCAGGTCATCCAGCACGTCCATTCTTCTGCTCTTAAGATTGGCAACGCACCTGCAGTAACAGGACAGATATGAGATTCATAGGTCTCAGGGGCTCCTGTGTTATCTTCATGCTGTTTCCAAATTCTACTAAGACTTTTCAACCCACAGTTGTGTCCACAATCTCTCCCCACTCTCCTTCCTCCTGTACTGTGTCACCAAGTCCCAGCTCTAACACATGGGAATCGTTACCTTCCTTCTGGAGTGTGGCTCACAAGGGCTCTTGGTGTCTGGAGGCACCACCTGGGCGCAGGCCCTGGATAATGAAGACGGTGCCCGTGACGATGCCCACAAGGCCCATGGCCAGCCCCAGGGCGCAGACCACTGTCTCCGTCAGCTCTGACATGGAGGCTGGAATCTTGGGCTCTGTGGGAGTGAGGTGATGGAGGTCAGAATGGGGAAGGTTGGCTCACAGCATGTGTGTAAGATGGGGTGGGAGGCGTGGTGTTGGGTCTACAAAGACTTGGCTCCAAGTTGAGGGAGAATAATAAAGTCTATCATTAGAAATCCTTAAAGTGTAGAAAACAGGCTTTGGGCCATGAGATTTAGGAGCTAAAAGGCAGAATGTCTGATCTGACAGAGAAAGGCACCAGAAGGCATGGGGCTCATACCCACCCCAGTGCTTCAGGAGGGGCTGGTCCAGCCCCCAGTGCTCCACCTTGCAGTCATAGATGTCGTCAGCAGAAGGGAGGAAGGTGAGGTAACTGATCTTGAGGAAGGAATGATCCCTCTTGGACAGGAAGCTGGTTTCAGAAACACCCTGCGTGACTGAGTGCCCGTTGCTCAGCCATGAGATGTTGATCACAGGAGGGAAGATGTTGTCCACGGCACAGATGAGGGTGTTGGGCTGGCCCAGCTCCACGGGAGACTTGGGCAACATAGTCACCTCAGGAACCTCTGCGGTGAGGAAACAGCACTGGGTTTAGAATCGTGGGCAGCTCTGCCCTGAGGGTCCCTGCTTCCTGGAGGGGCCTCCACCAACGTTTCCCCATCGGAGAGAGGAGATGCTCTTGTTCCTTCTGCTTGGGAGCGGCTGTACACTGCCCGCTCATCATCCCCACGCCCTTCTCTCTGTGGGCCCCTTGTTAGGGTAGGGTGTCTACGGGACCTGTCCTTGAAGGAGTCGAGGATTGCAGTGTGGGAGCAAGAATCTCTGTATTTCATGAAAATATGTGATTTGTAAGAAGGGAGAGGATGAGGGTTCACCAAATACCATGAGAAGATCTGGGACTCCTTGGAAAGGAGAGCATTTTATAGAGTGAAGGGAATCTATCTGAGGCAAGAAGCGAGTGAGGCCTGGTATGAAGGGTAGATTCAGTAAAGACACAGGATGGTGGACACACACCATTGATAGCAGCAGTAGAGTTGGAGCGTTTAATCAGGATGTCCAAGTTATATTCTGCTGTAGCCATGTTTCTCAGTCCACCCTGTGGGTCAAAACCTCCAAATTCACTTAACCCAGGCAGCCGCCAGACAGTCTCTTTCTTCTCCAGGTCCACGTAGAACATCTCATCTCCATCAAATTCAAAAGTGTACTGGCCTGAGGGACCATAAGACTGGTAGAAGCTTGCGCCATAGGCAGCAACATGGTCAGCTGATGAGTGAGGTGGGAGCAGGGAGGTGCAAAACACAGGAGAGAAAGGATCTCATTAAACAAAGTGACAAGAAACAGACGTGCAAACATTGTGGGCTGCTCTTTAGGCACAGCCTGCAGACAGTCCCCAGCGCCTGCTCCCTCCCCTGGTTGTTCTGTTAGAATCCAGCTGCCTCGCCACTCCCACATTCGCTCCTGTCACAGGAACAGAATTCCACAGGCCTGTTTACTGCTATTCTCTGCCGGCCTAGCTCAGCCCCCGGCACCTCATGGGCTTAAGATAAATACTGAAATGGGCGGAACAAGGAATGGATGAATGACCATGGCCTGAGCTTTCTTTTCAGAGATTCAGTTTACCTCCCTCTGCTTCATAAGTTTTCTCTCTCAATTTCTTCATCGGTTAATAACACATTCATTGTGGGTCCTCTCCCCTCAGGACTGGCTCAGGACATGTTCTATGCAAGGATTCCTTCCTCCTTTTATTTTTTTAACCAAGGAAAAGCACACCCGATATCATTTTTAAAGAATTGCCTCTATTTTAGGGACTAAGATAGAGTAGGCTAAGGGCAGTGACAACATCACAAAAACACATAAAAGGTAAATAATGCTTTTAAGGTCTCTGTTTTTTTTGTTTTTTGTTGTTTTGTTAATCCTCACTTGAGGATATTTTTTCCATTGATATTTTTTTCTTTTAGAGAAAGTGGGAGGGAGGAAGGGGGGAGAAAGAGAGAGAGAGAGAGAGAGACCTCTCAGATTAATTGGTTGCATCTCACAGGTGGCTCTGGGGATTGAAACTGCAACTCAGGTACCTTCCCTTGACTTGGAATCAAACCCATGACCTTTCCATGTTCAGGTTGATGCTCTAACCATTTAGCCCACCAGCCAGGGCTAAGGTCTCTGCTTCTGTAACAGGGTGGTCCTTAGAGGAGAGCACCAGGTTTCCTCTGAAATGAAACTAGACACTTCATTAAATTTGAATTTCTGTGATTTCCCACCCTCTTCTTTTCTTGAAGGACGTTCCTAAGCCTCTCCTTTTTCTGACTCAACACTTACCTTGTTGGGGACTCAACAAAAACTCTGGCCCTTCCCTTTCATGGACAGTGGACTTGGTGTGACGCCAAAGCAGAAGGCAGCCAGCGTAGCTGACTCCCAGGTGGGCCTGACTGGACAACTTGTCTGAGCCTTTTACCATTTCCTCTTCCCTCCCTTCCTATTTCCTGAGTACCAACAAGGTTTCAGACATTGCCAGGAGCGAGGAGTAACACACGGACCACACTCAGTCTCTGCCAGCGGGGAGCTTAATGAATAGGGGAGTCCGGTGAGTAAGGAGCCAATAGGTGTACTGTGCTGAGTCCTCCACAAATACCTCACCTGCCAATTAAACCAGATGTCACCCTTTCATGCTCCTTGGTCTTTACAAGGGTCTGTTTTCCTCCCTCAATTTATCTTCCAGGATCTCCTGGACACCTCCAGTTCACTCTTGAAGTGTCTGCTTAGTTTCCAACTTCTTAGCTAAGTCCCCTCATTAAACATAATTTTGACCCCATTATGATCTCCAGCCCCTCCATGCAAATGTCCTCTTTGCAAGTTTATCTAGTCCTCACCCCCACCCAGCATGACCCCCTTGGCTGGCCACTTAAAAGGCCCTCCATCAAAGCCTCCTTGTCCTTGTAATGAATCCTCTTGACTCCTTTACAAACATGAATATATGTGATTATCCT